ACTACTACCCTCTCCTACCCTACTATCCACCCCCTTTACCTTCTACTTTCCTCCCAGATTGACACGTCACATGTAAACTAGTAGCAAAACTCTTTAAATAGTCGTAGCCTACATATCGCTCAGGGCGATAGGTCAGGGTAAATAAATTCAACTCAACTCAACTCATCAACTCTTATACCTTTCTAGTATATTCTATCCGAGACTTATTAGGTATATTAACAAAAACTTTAGACGATAAGGTACTTACCTATATATAGAAAAATATTCCGAGCAAGTCGCTTTTTATCTAGAAACTCGTGCGAGGAAGTTTTTCTCCAATTATCCGCTCTTGCATGACCAACCACTCAGCTACCCGGCGCGACCAGCATTCATTTGGTTTAGCCTCCGCAGTAGCTACTGTGGCAACCAACTTCTTCAACAAAACCTGCATCAACGCGGGATGTATTAACATGATGAAGGTTTATGATCGGGATGACGGCAGTATTGTTGCCGGTCGCTGTTGAGAGGTTAGAGGTGGATGACAAATGGCTGTCGAGAGGCAGGAGGCGGATGACAAATGACGACCGATTGCTCGGGCCACCTACGGGACGTCATGATCTTGTTGCACCGATTAGGCGTTGCATACAATTAGTCGTCTAAACACGTGTTTTAGACGTCTATTCGCACCGAATAGGCGCGCATAAGTGTTGCGTGCATATTCCACTGTTTTAGTCGTCTATTCGGTGTTGTGCGCGCATAATCAGGGGTAGTTGCAGTAGCTCGTATCAGATTTAGTAGTACCACCGTGCGTTCCAGCGAGTCAGCTCTGATTCATGTTCTCCGCCCGTCTCACCTAAATTTTGCGGGCGCAGGCGGAGAACAGTAACAACACCATTTAAAAAATACCTACGTAGGTAGTATCTCAATCCTCACCGAGCAAGCGCGAAGTAGGCCTGCTAACTCGCCCTGCGCGCGTAGTGCCACCGCCCCGGGGCGCCCCATTGCCTCGTCTCCCGCGCCCACCGCGTCCTCCGCGTCCTCCGCGTCCCTCTGCAGTAACAGATGCCTCTGCAGTAGCAGATGCCTCTGCAGAGGACCCTCCTCCACGCCCGCCACGCCCGCTACGCCCGCTACGCCTGCCACGCCTGCTACGCCCGCTACGCCTGCGCGCTACAGAGGACTCGCCCTGCGGTTGATTCGAACACGGGGTACCCTCATGGCAACTTCCGCTACATTCGGTCCCTGCCTTGTGGCAAGCACACTTATTGTTAGCACACGCCCCTCTACACCCGCAGCGAGCACTGATCAACCCCATTGAGGCACCTGACTGGCGGGCTACACTACGTAGTGTAACAGTACTGTTTGCTTCGGGTGTATCAAGCTGCTGCTGATCAGGGCCCTGCGAGTTATCCAGTAGTCGTAGTAGATGCGGGGCAATAGGCCGACTGATGATGCCGTAAGGAGTCTTTACACGGTACCCACGGCTTGATTCGTCTCCTATTATCTCATGGATCACACCAATCACGGACGGCAGCGAGCCCTGGCGGTCCTCAGGAGGCACTACTACTGCTACAACGTTATCAACACTGAATGAGCGCTGCGGAGGGAGGTTCTTGTTGAACTGTCTCTCTATTCGTTTACGAGAAACGTCTAAGTGGGTTCGAACGTCCTCATCAAGCTCAGTGCGGTCCTACACACGTGATTGCGAATGTAGAGGCTCACTAGCCGCGTGTTGAACATGCGGAGGTTGCTCCGCGGGTTGCTCCGCAGGTGGCTCAGGGGGTTGCTCAGGGGGTTGCTCAGCGGGTTGCTCAGCGGGTTGCTCAGCGGGTTGCTCAGCGGGTTGCTCCATACGTTCAACACGCCCCGCTCGCTCTGCCCTCCTCGCCTGCTCCACCTGTAGTCGTAGAGCGCGTAGAGCCGCCTCCTGTAGTTGCTTCTCCCTGGACGCTGCCATCTCTCTTTGTGCGTAGGCAAATCTCGCCATGTTGCTTCGCCACCACTCAGGAGCATTAGGATGTTACTGCAGCTCCAGTTCTGCGGGCGGCGGAGGGAGACGGGCAGCGCAAGGAGTAAGTGACGGTGGCGGAGGCAGTACTCGCTGTGAAGGCAGTGAAGTACTACGAGGCAGCGGGGCCCCGCGGGGCAGCGGGGCACGCGGAGGGGACTGTTGTGAGGTACGTGGAGCGGCCCGCGGCGGGGTATCATGCGTTAGATCGATCGTTTCAACAGTAGTTGTTCGTACGCGAGGCGGCATGAGCGTCGAAGGTAGCGGCAGGTCCGACGAAGATGAAGAGTGGTACGGGTCTTCTTCGGAGGACGATATTTAGCGGGGTTTTGGTGGTAAATTAGAACTGCGGGTACCCGACGGGTCTCCTGTCGGACCTACTGTAACCTCCGCAGCTTCCGCAGCGCGCTCTGCTGGTCGCTCGTTCGCTCGCTCGTTCGCACGCAGGCCAGCACTCGTTTGCGAACCTTCGCCCGCCTCGTTCGCTCGCCCGCGGGCACTCCCGCGGGTACTCCCGCGGGCCCTACTGCGCTCGTCCTCCGCATCCTCATCTGCGTCCTTATCCTCGTCCTCCTCCGCAGTACTCTCTGCCTCTCCTGTCGCATCTGTATCCTCTACAATATCATCTAGCACAGCGATCTGGCGTAGAGGAGCACCTACACGCAGTTCAGGAGGCACCAAGCGAGCACGCCCCGGACCCCACATCTGGCGACCGAAGAGTATTTTATAAGGTGAAGCCCCTGTTGCGTGCCGCCTGTAGTTGTTCTGTTGTAGTGTAACGTCTAGGCAGGCATGGGCGAAGCCGGGATGGCCATGGGCGACGCGGACCCTCTCTATCTTCTCTTTTACGTGCCCATTAGCCTTTTCAACACCTCCTTGGGACTCTAGGTGCCTGGGCCGGCCAGTACACGTATCAATGCCGAAATCGTTGAACAGCTGTTGAGTAGCAGCGCTTACAAACTCAGTGCCGTTATCTGTTTGTATCCTATGAGGCACACCGAAGGCCTGGATCCAACGGAGCATCCCGGCGGCTACTGTCCTCGCTGTCTTATCTTTTAGAGGTATTAACATGCAGTATTTGGAGTAGTGATCCCTCATATGTAGCACGTATTTATCCTGCGTAACTGGATCAGGGTGGTTCCGGTAATCAATTAGATCCATCTGCACCCGCTCGAATATCTCTCTTGAGAGGATCGCCCGCAGGGCCCGCGGGGCAGGAGGAGGGTGCCTTGCTGCTGCACAAACACGACAGAGACGCAGTAGCTTTTCAACGTCCTTTTCAGTGACTCCGTAATAGTTCTGTTGGAGGTCCTTAAACGTCGTAAGTTGAGCTACAACACGTCAGTGTATAAATATTTATAACTACTGCAGAATACGTACCTGAATGCC